GATGAATGATGTAAGGCATCACGTTCTTCATTCTATTTGCAATGATTTTAGCAATGATTTTATAAATGACATTGCATAAGGAAATAGGTCTAAAGTCCTTGACATTACTGGCATGGGTATGTTTAGGGATGAGAGCTATAGCAGTGGCTTTAATTTGATTTGCCATGTGACCAGTGTGGAAGAAGGAAGTAACAGCTTTACACAGTTGAGTGCTGATTGAATTCCAAGTTGCTTTATAAAATTCGAATGTGAATCCATCCGGTCCAGGGGCAGTGTTTGGCTTAGCTGAAAAAATAATGTGCTTAATTTCTTCAATGGAGACCGGAGCAATGAGGTTTATTTGATTTCTGAAAAAGAATTGCAAATAATTTTGAATATAGAATATTTTAAATTTAGGATGTTTGAATTATATATATATATATATAGAGTATTAAACAGATTTCTGTAGTGATTAACAAAAACCTGAGCAATGTCTTTGTGATTGGAAAAGGTGCCAGAGTCATTGGAAATCTCTTTGATACGGTTATGGTTTTGGGAGTCATTAATTTTGGAGTAAAGGAACTTGAGGTCGTCCTCCCCATTAGTAAGACATTTAACTTTAGCTCTTTGAGTCATCCAACTGATGAGAGTGTCTTGGTAGTAAGCAAGATTAGAGTTAACATCCTTCAGGGAGCAGTTAAGGTAAGGATCAAGAGGATTGGCTTGAAGTTGAGTAGTCAGAGAATGCTGCTGACTTTTGAGATTATCAATTTGGGTTTGAATATTGCTAGCATTGGACCAAGACTTAAATTTGATAGCATTCTTAAGAGTCTTAAGTTTGTAGCTGAAAGAGCATAACGGGCTGCTTTCATTGGGGTGGGTAAAAACATCTAAAAGGATGCTCCAAAACTCAGGTTTTTTCAAGCAGTAGTTTTTAAACATAAAACGTTGACCTTTGCTAGAATTAGCAGAATTCAACAATATGAGGGGAGAATGGTCCGAGCAATCAGGGTCGTCAACCTTGTAGTAAGAGGTAGAGAAGGAAGTCAACCAGTCATCATTAACCAAAATTCGATCCAACTTGATATGGATAGGGTTTTGATGCTGCTGGTTATGCCAAGTAAAGAAGTGGCCCACAGATGAGAGTT